TATCGGAATATGCACCGTATATCAGCGCGACTCCAAGGAAACTAGGAGGAGGCATATCTCTTCATGTTTGTAGTATAGACCTTATATACCCCTGACCTGGGAGGGGTTCCAGGATCTCACATGAGTCCGCCGTATGCATTTTGGCGCATACGCCTACCTATCATACCCGAGCCGAACCAAGAGGATTGTTGCAAATCCACATGTGCGCGATCACGCAATCGATCCCTCGTATCGACATCGTGCGAAATATTTCATCAACGCGAGCGCCTACTTTGGCGAAAGACACGTTTTGCTTCACGCGAGATTTATCGCCGACGAACTGATTCATCTCATCTTCGTCGACATCGAGTCCTGAAAACTTGTGAAACAAATGTCGTGTGTCATTATTCGTTTTTTATAATGATTTATTATAATATAAATCTTTTTCTCTGTATACAGTAAAAGATTTTGTGTTAAATTTAACATATTTTACATGTCCCAATTTATCCACTCTAATTTTAATGTTAATTTAACAGGAGGCAAGTATGTAAATAAATAACACAAGTAATATGTTTAAAAATTAACACAAAAGTGTAACACTTAAACTTTATCTGGAAATAAAGTTTATGTTAAATTAACATATTTATAATGTTAAATTTAATTAAAAGAAAATGTTATTCTTACATTTTTATGATAAATAACAGAAGAGCTATGTCGATTTAACATATGGAAACTGTTATAGAGAGAAAACTAACACAACTTATCTGTTCATTTTAACATACAACATATTTTATCACAAATTCGTGCATTTACTTATTAATTATGTTGTTTTAATTCTTAGAAACGGTGAATATTAACTCAACGCAGAAATGTCAAAATAACGCAATGATATGTTACATTAACATAAGAGTATGTTAAAAATTTAACACAAAAGTATTTACACGAGAAAATTTTAACAGAAATACAAAATGTTTTTTACGTGCAGTAAAAGATTTTGTGTTAAATTTAATATATTTCACATGTCCCAATTTATCCACTCTAATTTTAATGTTAATTTAACAGAAGGCAAGTATGTAAATAAATAACACAAGTAATATGTTTAAAAATTAACATAAAAGTGTAACACTTATACTTTATCTGGAAATAAAGTTTATGTTAAGTTAACGTATTTATAATGTTAAAGTTAATTAAAAGAAAATGTTCTTACATTTTTATGATAAATAACAGAAGAGATATGTCGATTTAACATATGGAAACTGTTATAGAGAGAAAAATAACACAACTTATCTGTTCATTTTAACATATAACATATTTCATCAAAAATTCGTGCATTTACATATTAATTGTGTTGTTTTAATTTTTAGAAACGGTGAATATTAATTCAACGCAGAAATGTCAAAATAACGCAATGATAATATGTTACATTAACATAAGAGTATGTTAAAAATTTAACACAAAAATTTTTACACGAGAAAATTTTAACAGAAATACAAAATGTTTTTTACCGTGTAATTCCTACCAAATGATGAGATTTCTGAAGTTTAATAGAGATAAATTTTTCTTTAAGATTATATCATGTATCTTTTGTTAAAAGAGTACTTTTTTGATCATTGGATATTTTTAAATTTATTTTACGATGTTATTTGAGAAAAAGAATGATCAATTTTGTTGTTAAATTCGCGTTTACAGCACATATATTTTTTGCAAAGGCTACATCCTTTCTAGAAGACGCAAATGATTATAGAGGATAACTCCTAAAAAAGTATCTTCTCTGTGAAAATGTGTAGTTATTTAGTTGAAAGAATTGTCGGTACGCAAAGCGCTATAAAGTCTCTTTCTTTTAATTAAGACAGTAACGATCGTGCAAGATTATTCGGTGAGAAAGTGCTTGACGTTTTTGATGTAAACGCGCTTCCTGTCGTGTGTTTAAAGATCCGTTACAATCTCAAGATCAGACCTCCGTGAAAAAAGGGATCTCTCTCTCTTTGCTGATTTACCCTTTTGAGCATGTTTTTGTTCTGCTCATCCTCGATCAATCGACTTAAAGATGACGGGTAGATATCTAAACTGACGATACAGCAAGCTTAATCGTAAACATTAGAAGGACTGTTTATTCTTTTCTATCTTGCATAATTTTTTACTTGTGCAACACAAGAAAATATAATTTAAAAATATTATATTATTATAATCTCGTGGACACACATTCTAAATTATAATTTACGCACTTAATATGATGTGTGTTAAATTTTTGAAGAAAGTAATTCGTAGAGAGAGGAAGATTTTCAATAAATTGTCATCTTGTAGCAATTTGATTACACGATTGCGTTTCCTTTTTATTTACGTTATTTGAGGATACATTTCTACCTTTGTAAAGTTTAGCTTCTCGACCTTCGTGAGATCGAGGAGCAATTTTGCAACAAGTCGTTTCTCGAGATCCGATGATAATACGTTCTTCCACCGAAGAGACGCTTTCTTCGCGATCCAGATGGTAGACGTTCGGCGTGGAGTTCGCATCTTGTCGATAGAAGAGACTTTTGTCTTCGACAAACAAGACTTGTCGATAAAATACGTTTCCGATGCAGCTTTTTCCAGGCGACAGTTTAATTGCGTTTAATTACAACTCGGGCGCAACAAATAATCCGCGATCACATTCTCCCCTTTCGCCTCGCTCCCCCGTTGCTACCCTCATTACGCGACAAAACTAAAAGCTTGCTTCGCGCTTACACGAGAGAACTTCCACGCTTTGTTGGCCGCGTCCGTACGAAAAATCGAGCATGCGCAATTAAAATTGAATTAAACGTAAACTGGTAAACGTAAACTGGTAAACGTCATTAAATCTTCAGCGAGTAGTGGCAATGCGTGGGATAGCACGAAACTCACCGCCAATACAATTACGCGCTCTCAGCGTAGCGCGATCAGTTTTAAGCGATGTAAAATTTCCGAATAAAATCACGGAATGATTTTTGTTCGAGCTGCGGCGCTAATTTCGAAAATTGCATCTCGTCCTAGTCTTCTCTTGGTACTACTTTTCGAGAAAATACCTTTTTAACGAGAACCTCTTATGATGTATATATCGCGAAACTTCGTCGCTTACCATTTACAGAGCTTTACGTCTCGAATTTTGTTTACGCCACATCAAAGCGTTGCTGGTTGCATATACAACTCGCTAAATTTGCGTTTAAGCTCGCGCACCGGATTTTAGAATACGTTATCCGATATTATAATCCCGTCACCGCTCGTTCTCAAATACCGGTTGTTCCGTTGTTTATCAGGATGTAGTTATCGTTTTGCTTTGACGACAGGACTCACGTAGCACAGAAGCTTGCTGCAACGTTGCTGCAATGTTACAATATTGCTCACTGCAGTGCAATGTTGCAGCAATAATGCAGCGACATTATTTTGTAATATTACTTTGGTAATGTTGCAGCAACGTTTTAACACTGCGAAAATGTATAACTTGTGTTTCTTTACTTGCCGCTACATGGCGACACCCAATTTAACTAACTCGTATTCGAATTCATCTAAGATGGATATAAGATCTACAAAGGATTAATGTAGTAATTATATTTCTTGTCTTGTATCAGTTTAATTTCTGGTGATAAACTGACTTGATTTACTTAATATTCTGAATCCTAATGAGGGATCTAGATTATTAAACAATTTACCGTTGCTGCAATGTTGCAGCAACATTTTGCAACCTTTCTGCAATGTTGCAATCTTGCAAAGAAATATTTTTGCAATGTTGCTGCAATATTTCTGTGCCGTATGAGTGTGCCTTAAAAAAAACAAGAACAACCTTTCGAAACAAATAATTTGTTTAATAATCTGGATCCTTCATTGGGTTTCAGAATATTAAACAGATTTTTCTTTAATTGAATGGGTAAATAGGAAATAATTCATTTATTGCACGTATTAAAATATCCTGGTGTCGAATGTATGTAAAATAATTGTATGTAATATTATTCAGATAAATATTTAAAAAACATCTAATAAAAACTAATAGATGTTTTTTAAAGGCATTTTTTCCTTTCTTAAACATTTTTTATATTTTCAAAGTTTATTTATTAAATTTAAAACGGTGTCTGCATTTGTAGCAAAACGCGTTTTAATATTACAAATACGTTGCACCGTAACATTGCTGCAATATTGCATTGCAATATTTCTACAAGCGGACATTTTACCGTTGCTGCAATATTGCAGCAATGTTGCAGCAACATTTTGCAACTTTTCTGCAATGTTGCAATCTTGTAAAGACATATTTTTGCAATGTTGCTGCAATATGTCTGCGCTGTATGGGTGTGCCTTAAAAAAAAAATAAGAGCAACCCTTCGAAATTCTTTCACTGATTTGTGTCAACAGTATCTTAGGCTAAATATCTAACTTTGCAAACTTAAAAATATAATAAAATATCAAAGAGCGAGATATCTCATATCTGCTCCATTCATAAGATCTCCGCTGAAGCATGTTTGATGTGAGCGCGATATAGCGAAGGCAACGAAAGTCACGCATCTGTCCTGAGGTGCCTCTGCGAAACGAGCTTCCTCTCATGAACTTGTCGATAACAGTTTGGCAACCCTCCGGGCCTTTCCACCTTGGCACCACGACCGCCAACCGACTACCACGGGAATTCAATTATCTCGCCGTTCGTACCACCGGCCAGGCGAAGATAATGTGAGACGAATGAGCCCGAGAGAGGACCCGGCCATCTTGGACGATGTCCGGATCCGGAGCTCGGGAATTCCCGGACTTCTCGCACGTCTCGGATGAAAGGATTAAGCGTAATCCAATGGTCATCGTGCTCGCTACCAGCCAGCAATCTTTGCAAAGTGATTACTTATCGCCGAATCGTGTTCTAAAACGAGTTATAAAACGTTGTATAATAATGCACCAACGTCACAACACTTCTCTTTGTCGAATATATTTTTCAAAAATGTTTGATCCTTCTATTATAAACGCGCGCACACGTTGTCATTTTTACCGTTGTAATCTTTGTAGCAATTCCTTTTTCTCTTTGATTGCAGCTCTTAAGACTTTGAATCATTTAAACGAGGAAGGCGAGGCGCTTGCCCTTCAAGATGACCTCACAACGCACCCCACCCTGGCCTTGATGCGGCGCATCCTTGCAGATGCACAGGTGAGTATGACGTCTGCGAATTTTCTAATTGCGGACAAAGATACAAGTCAAGCGTAATCCGGCAAGAGTTGAGAACCTTTAAAATGATGAAGCTCGATATCGTTGAAACACGCGATTATAAATTGCCTCGAATTCCATGGAAACGGCGAACTTGATTCAAACAGCTTCTACGCCAAGAGGTTAATTATTGAGCGGATAAGGAGCTATCTAGGCACGCACACACATTCGAAATCTATTGTCTATATCAGGAACTGCCGGCATATTATATATCATCAAATCGCGTTCTCTGTCGAACAAGAGAACTGCATGTACTCCAAGTTTCTTGTTAGAGAAATATCTCTTTAAACAAAAACTCTACAATAGTGCACTTTGAGTTTGCTAAAATGGATAATTAATTTAATTAAAGATGACACAATATACAGTTTACCAAAAGTGGGGAAACCCCTTAATATTTCGAAAAATACGCATTTAAAAAAAATGTTTCATACAAAAGTTATAGGGTTTTATGTGGCGCATTACACAGCAACATTATTATGACCTCGAATAGCGTTATGTGAAGGTCAGCTTCAATTTTTTAAACGGAACCCTATATTTTTTATTACATTATCTTGCAGCTTATCTTGAGAGAGAGCTTTTCAAAACATTTATCATTAAATATTTTTTTCATTAAAGTAATTTTTTCAGTAAAGTATTTAAGTATTGTATACAAGTATACAATACTTTTTAAGTTATGAGGCTTGAGCTTGAAATTTCTTAATTTTACATAAACCGTAAAATATCTAGTAAAATATTCATTTTTCGATTATCCTACCTTAATACTTTTATGTACAAAATAATGAGAGGAATTGGTGTAAAGAAAACACATAATTGTTTCGAAGAAAAAATATGGAATTGTTAATTGCAAATTACATATTTTTTCTTCGAAATAATTATGTGATTTCTTTACACTAATTGATTCCTCTCATTATTTTGTACTTAAAAGTATTAAGTAGGCTAACCGAAAAATGAATATTTTACTAGATATTTTACGGTTTATGTAAAATTAAGAAATTTCAAGCTCAAGCCTCATAACTTAAAAAGTACTTAATGAAAAAAATATTTAATTATAAATGTTTTGAAAAGCTCTTAAGATAAGCTGCAAGATAAAAAATATAGGGTTCCATTTAAAAAATTGATGTTGACCTTCACATAACCTTGACAACGCTATTCGAGGTCATAATAATGTTGCTGTGTAATGCGCCACATAAAACCCTATAACTTTTGTATGAAACATTTTTTTTTAATGCATATTTTTCGAAATATTAAGGGGTTTCCACACGTTTGGTAAACCCTATATAAATATTCATGTATAATTTTCTAAAGAATAAACTTTTCTATAATTATCGAAAAGTCACGCGCGCATTTGTTCGGAAAGTAACCGCCCGAGAACGTTTTCCCATTGTCGGAAAAGGTAGAAGCAATCCTTTTGAGGCGCGTCGATTTTCAAGAAAGTGAGGAATCGGGATTTCGAAAGGGGTTAATTGTCAGATGGACGAGGGATCGCTCTATTAATAGCACGAGTTTCTTTGTCCACCGCAAACCATTGTTATCTATGCGAGGCTGATGCTCTCAATGTTTATTATGACAGAGAAATATTAGATGGCAACTCAAAGAGAGTTGCACGTGGACGTGGAAAGGGGAAAAGGACTACTGATGGTAATTGGACTTGGTCCGTGGGGTGAATAAAAGTAGCAAAATAAGGGTTGCAGTAAAAAGTGTCCTTCGCGTGATGGCGTTTAATTTCTTTGCCGCAGTTGTTTCGTACGATTCGCGTTACATTTGAGACATGCTTCGTGTGCAACAACACGATTTCTATATTTTCAAGATCAATACAGCCAAATTTTTATAAAGTCTCTCGTATCTGAATAAAAATCCTATGTTTAAGAGTAGCAATGAAAACACAAACAACAATAATTGTGATAAAATGAGTGACAACACAATTAAATTAATAAAGAAAATTTCTCTCAACTTTCATTTATTTTATAATTTCATAATTATATGATTAGCCGACGTTGATAACAGACTTCCTGGCTTGTATTACTAATTAAACGAACAGCATTCCCGGAGGCGATTCGTGCTTTTCCAGATGATCGTGAAAAAGAAGATTAAAACGAAAGCGGGTACTGTTTTTTGTTTAAAATTGAAAAATCAAATTCGCACGTCAAGAACGTGCAAATTAATTAGCCAAAATTATCTACCATTATACGTATACATTTGCCACGCTCGAGTAGGCTTAAAGGCGAATTCAAAACCTACAAACTAATTGTGATGAAACTTACAAATGAATTGTTTGATTTCATCAGCAGAATAAGCGTCGGAAAATTATCGTTTTATCCCCCATCTCGGAGAGATTTTGAAACGCGTAAATGACATGTGTATATGCATCGAATCATATATATATATATATATATATATATATATATATATATATGAAATTTTACATGTTGAATTAAAAATTAAAAAAAAGAAGAAAAATTGCAAGCATTATATATATATATATATATATATATATATATATTTTTTTTTTTTTTTCCAAATAAAGTTATTTCGAAAAAAAACGTATTTTATTTGCATTTTAATATCAGTTTTCAGCACACAAAAGTTAATATACATTGAGTAATTGTTTGCGGTCCAACTAAATGCGATTGATTTATAATTTAATTAAGGCACATACATATGGTGAAATTTTCTGTTTTTTACCTTAATTAAATTTATGAATATATATACGCAGAACACACAAACGGCATGACCATGAATATAAATTCCGCTGTCTCGATAATTGTGCGGTATCAGTTTTTTAATCGCGTTCATTGAATGTTTAAAAATCCGTCCTCTATAGGAGAGGTATCGTCTGATATTGATTACGCTGCATGCGCGAGTAAAAGGCGAACAAAAACGTAACGTGTTACCGAACTTTCATTTTGGCGTGTCATTCACGTTTCGTGCGTAACGCGCGTCGAGAGCACTCTCTCCGTTAAAAGAGCCGTCAAACTTGTTAATGTTTGATATAATGATTTTCACAGCACGGATAGATTAATATTGGCGTTTGACTAATTTCGCGGCGTATTATCGACGATGCGATGGCAAAGCGTTTTACACGACATAATGCAGGGGATGCAATTACATCGCGCAACGACAGATGCGAAACATTATGCATCGATGCTTCAATTATTATCTCGTTATCGTCATAAATTCTTACTATATTTTAGATACATCTGTCATATTTCAAATCGAAAGGATTTCAATGCATGACAATATTTTTTTGAATGCGTTGAAAAAGGAAGAAGAGTTTGCGTGCACGTTTTTAAAAGTTGTGTAAAATTTTACGGAAAATTTTCAAATCGATATAGAATAATAATATATCAATCAACAAGAGGAAGAGAAGAAGATCTCGCAATTCGGATTATAGTCGAATCACACACGACACATCGCGCATAAACACGTTACCCGACAAATAGCATTCGGACGTGGTGGACGCGGCTATTTCGGGATTAATGCAATCGAACTGATGGCTCGCAGTTTGCTGACGGAGTACACGAGCACTCGATCGTCACGGTGAATTAAAATTGGGCCGTGCGTGCTCGTGTTCACAATTAAACATTGCAAAAATCGCGGGAGTAATTTGCATCCGATTGGCAATGCAATATAACGCGAGAACACTGTTATATCACGGATCAGCAAAGAGAGCTTTCTTTTCCAATCTAACTGAATAACGCGTATCAATTTCATCGATTATACATTGTAGATTATGTTGATTTTATATATTTTGTATACAAAATATATAATTATTTTGATATAAAATATGAAAAAATAAAACATGAAATATATTTCTTTTTTATTCAATATAGCTTCTTTTTTACTATTATTATAATTATTATAATTATTATAATTATTGTGATACTGTTATTTAGAATATTTTACTTATATAAATATATATATACTTTTAAATAAAATCAGTCTATTATCACTAATAAGCAATAGATTTAGTTACAAATAAAACAAATAGTGAAATGATTCTTATGTGGGTAAATGGGTCTTATGTATTGTAATATATATATAAAATAAATTCACACATATACACACGTAGCAATATATTTTGTTTGAAAAATGTCTGAAAAAGAATGTCTGAAAAAAATTTTAATCCTCTTCAATTTTTTTTTAATTTATCAAAAAATAAAAAAAAGTAATACGTATATAATTATTGAATTTGAACGCTATAATTAAAAAAGAAACATAAATAAAATGTGAATGTTTTCTGAAGAACTAAACATTGAAATGCTCATTGATCTTGAGTGAAATTGAGTTATTAGTCGCGAAATCATCGAGCGTTCAAATGTCAATGACCGCACCGAAAAAATTGTATTCTTAACTTAAGAATATGCCATCTTTTATCTTAAGAATATATACCACTAAAATAGGCGCCAAGAGCATCCTCTTAAGTTAAGAGGAAAATCTTCTAAAGAGATATTGTTAATGCACAGAGAAAAATATTTCTTTGGATTTAATAAATTTTGTTGAAGTCAAATAAATTTAATTATTGTTCTAAAAGTTTCTTTCCGTCTAATTTCAAATAATCTTTTAATATTCTGAATCTCAACAAGGAATCCGGATTAAATAAATTATTTTAAATTCAGCTTGAAATTAAACTGATAAATAGTGATGTCAAAGAAGATGCGGCTCACATGCATACAGAGAATCTATATGTGAGAGCAGCGTCCTCTCTTTCGCACCACTACTAAGGGAAAAAAATATACCTTAGACCTTACATTAATACAAGTCCTTTATATACATTTCATGATAAATATTGAATACGAGAAAAATTAAGAGTGGTGTCGCCGCGTAGCGACACATGAAGAAACATGTCGCGCACACGAAAATCGAGTTGTGATGTAGAAGTCGCAAATTAAGAATATATTCTTATTCATTAAGAATATATTCTTATTTATTAAGAATATTTATTA